ATCCGGACATAAGGCTTCCCTGAAATGAATATGCCACCCATTCTGACCCTTTCACTCTTGCAGTTATGGTGAATATCTTCGCACGTCATCTTAGCAAGGTCAAAATTATATTGGAGTTTTTGTGAGAGATAGACGCTGTTTCATTTGAAAATTTGATTATTCTGTCATTGCTGGCTGCTAACAAATTGTAATGGGCCGGAACGCCGTTACCCTCGTTTGATGATGCGTGCTGACAACGCAAGCAGGTGACAGGCTGCATAGCTAGATGGACAACCGCATGTTCACGCCATTTGCTTGCAAACCGATCCTCACCCCCATCCCACCTCTGAAGTCTGCTTTGGCGTGCAATGCAATGATTATGCTAACATCTGAGATGTATGCCAAGTCTTTATTTGTGAATGGATGAAATAGCAATAGTAAAACTGCCCATCGTTTTATTTTCATGCTCCAATTATAAGAGGAGTTTGGCGATCTTCTCGCCAAAACAGAGATATCTCCATCAATACTTAAAGGCAACGTAGTAGGTCATTGCCTAATGTGAATGTCATTGCATGTAATACTTTCGTCTGGGTCTGTGTTAAGTTTAAGATTAGGAACACATCGTCAGTAATTTTCTGGTTACCTTTTTTTGCTGTAAATTTTTACACGTACCCTTAACTTTTCTAGTCGGAGCGGCTTCAAAGCTGGAATGTTTGTCAAATGGTGTAGATAAAATGTTTCTATAATATTTAATTACTACCAGTTGTCTTCGGCCATTGTAGACGAATTCCATATTCTTAACACTTTATGACCCTCTGAGTCTAACTAGTACAGTGGCACATGGCGGTAGGTTTTCATAACGTGCAGACCTCTATGGTTACGATTTGATTACCTTGTGGTGACCGCAGGAGTGGGGGTCATTCGTGAACACACTAACAACCTGTCACCACCTTGGGTGTGGTTCTAAAAATGACTTTCTTCTCCTGACCAAATGAAGACCATTACTGATCGTAGTCTCTGCTGTTTATCATGATTCCGATATAGAGCCCGTCTTCACTCTGTCAGAGGTGACTAGGTGTGTACCCACATAGTTCACATAGCGTCATACACCCATGAAATAGTCCCGTTCTTCTGAGCAGCACATACGTGGCATTCAGTCGATTTGTTGGTTGTTGCGTAAGTTATGCCTTGCTTTATTTTTGCGTGGACATTTGTTGTCTCATGCAAAGTTGACTTGGGAGGAAGTCATCATCATCATTATTATAATTATTTTTATTATTATTATGTATATTGTTTGTAAATAATGTCAGCCTAGGCCTCAGATGCCTGGCACGGTCTGTTAAACTGGCAAATTTTATTTGGGTGAAGATCTGGCGTTGTGAGCTTTCCTGCATATATTACCTGCAGAGTCAAATGAATACAATTTCTCATCTCATCTGTCAAATGCTCATAATGCTCGATCACCCTGACTACTGATTGATCAAATCTAGTTTAGAGCTTTCTGATAGTACTTACAAATGCAAATGATTTCCTTAGTTGCTTTTACCTCATGAATTTTCAACAACTGGCTGTATAAAAGTTATAAATTGTAGAAATATTATAATGAATAACCAATAAACTGTGATAGAATGGCATTCTTGTGGGCTTATCTTGTTTTCTGAATTTACATGTCTGTTTGACTATGTAATGGATATAGCATCAGTGCCCGGTGGTAGGCCTACTTTGTCACACCATAATATAACAACTCGATATCATAAGTTTTAAAAAGCACCCACAAATACTGTTTCTTGCTTGTTATGTAGAATCCCTGTAATAAGCTGCCCAAGTTCACAATCGAAAACGTTACAAACCAGGTATTGTTGGGTCTAATCTTGGAGTAATCATTCTGCAGACAGAATGATTACTCCAATGTACATTGAAGTACAGTGGACTCTCGTTATAAAGAACACTGATATAACAAACTCTCGGTATAACAAAGTAATTTTTCCACGGTTCAAATTTTCTCTGTATTATTGGAAATCCAATTTTGTAGTAGATTCATACATCATAAATAATAAATTAATAAATCACGTGCACAGCAACCTAAACATGCTAGAGTATTTTCAATAATGTTTTATTTCCTTGACCAAAGTAAGAAAGTGTTCCCAGTATATTAAATGTATGATCTAAAGATTTTTACAAGTTTGGTTTCAAAATCATATCTGTATTGGAAAATAACATGTGAAGTGATGTAATTATAAGTTAAATAATTCTCTCATAATTACGTGGCATATTTTGTATCAACATTGTTTCCTTTTCTCTTGACCATAAGTATATTACAGAAGTATTTCCAGTAAAATTAGAAGTTTGGATATGGATCAGAGGTGCTCTACAAGTGTGTTTATTTTTCTGTTTGATGCATACAGAGGCTTGATTTTTACCTCAAAAATGCTAAAAGCTCAGCTTCGCCCCTGGGACCCCACCCAATAGTTCTCGCGCTACGCGCTTATAACATTTTGCCCCCCAAACATTTCCCCTTGCCCTCAGCTTGCCCCCCCCCATTTTTGCAATCTTGGTGCCGCCTGATAATATTCTTTACTTGTAACAAAATAGGAATAGTGCTGCAAATTAGGCACTACGACAAGACATCGACATCATAAAAAGGTAGTTCATTAAGGACCATAGAGAAAAGTATGAGGTTCAAAACAACAAAGCAAATCACAAGGTATTAACTCATATTATAGTAGTGTGGATAAGCACATGCATGGATTGTGGCCTTTTGATTAGAATTGTGAAACTTTGCACACGCGTAATACAATAGGTCCTGAAGATGTTCTGATCTAGTGTCAATTGAACAGCGCCACCTGGTGGCGTACAGCCCCCCTGGCGGGTTAACAGGTATTGCGTTATACCACTTCGATTTTTGGCTATAATTTCAATGACACTCATATTCAAGAAATAGGTCAAATGATTCGCAGGTATCTATACTAATACAATAGCAGCTACTAATACAATATTACCATTATTAAAGCATCGTCACTGCGCTCACCTTACTAAATGAGGAACACTAGACCATTTTTGATATATCATCATTTAATATACTGGTGGAAGAAAATTGTTTATTATTTGTTACCTATTTCATTGTTTCAACCTAATTTTATTACAACTTAAAGATAGCTACACTCAATTGTTGCTATGGTATTAGTATAGATATCTACGAATCATCCAAGCTATTTGTTGAATATATTGAATGAGTATTATTTAAATTATAGCCAAAACCTGAAGAGTGGTAATACGTACCCCTATGTATAACGCACGATATAACTATGTATAACTATGTATACCCTGATAACACGCCAGAGGCGCTGTTCAGAAAATCTTCAGAACCTATTGTAGTACCTAACACGTGTGCAAAGTTTCACAATTCTGACAAAAAGTGCACAATGTGCCCATTTTTATGTGCTTATCCGCTGCACTATTATACACAATCTACTCATCAACGTTTCCAATTTCAAAATATGTTGATTTATTCTCCTCAAAAGTAATCTTAGAGTGCACAGAGCAGCAAAATATAAGTTAATAGTTGGAGATCTAATTAGATAACTTTAGCAGCATAGAACAGATACATCTCTAAAAACACATCAGGGTACACAGACATACAACGAACACCACGAGGCTAGGCGAAGAATTAAATAATGATATATCATATGTAATCACACGTACCACACAAAGCAACATTTAGAAAAACCACAAAAATCAATGTCTTAATTACCTCTTACTCAAGAGCACCAGATATCATTATCAGCTCAATAGTTGTCTGTAATTAAAGAGGTCAGCACTAATTTCTTGAGAATGAGAAATTTACAATCGAATTCCAGTATGGAATGACAGAAAAAAAAGAATTTAAACGGATCTTTAGAAGACGGTACGGTGCACGGGGCAAACTTGATTTGAACCCCTAATTTCTCTAAACCCCTACAGTCACGTAAAATTAGGGGTTCAAATCAAGTTTGCCCCGTGCACCGTACCGTCTTCTAAAGATCCGTTTAAATTATTCTTGTTCTGTCATTTTATACTGGAATTCGATTTGATCACCACCAGACTCCTTTCTTCTTCTATAGTCTAGTCTCTTGGATTATGAAGATAAATATTTCTTGAGGTTCTTCTATGACATTGCTCATTCTCAAGAAATTAGTGCTGACCTCTTTAATTACAGATCAACTATACCGGTATGCGAAACGTTGTAAGCTTACTGCGTAAATAAATATACGATTTATACCCCTAGTGTAGTACTAGTAGTAGGGCTCATAGGGTCTATGTCTCTCAGGGTACTGCCGGAACGTACCCTGGGTATGGTCCAGTGTACCGGAACGTACCCAGGTCACTATTTGATCTGGTTAGGGTTAGGGTTAGGTTTAGGGGTAGGGAGTAGGCGTAGGCGACTCCCTAGACTCGTTAGTGGAGTAGGCGAGGTACGGTCCGGACTCCGGCATATTAGATAGTACCAGGCTACGTTCCGGTAATGGCGGTATACCGGACCGTACCCAGGGTACGTTCCGGCAGTACCCTGGGGGACATAGACTCTCTCTGCAGTAGTAGGCCTATAGTAGCGAGATGGAAAGAATGTGAGAGAGAATTGCTGTTAATAATGCGCTATAATCACATGATAATATCATATAAGTAAGCCTTGAGTTACTCAAAATAGTATATGTGCTAATATATTACTGATCTATATGTGTAGTCTGAGTGTAGATAGTTATAATAATATTATATCAGTGACGGTGGCTAATCTGCCTTCCTAAGTTCCTATCAGAGAGCACAGCAGACGTCAACTTCCGGAAGTATGACTGAAAATGGCACCTTGGACTAAAAGCAGGTCTGTTTATGATTTCGAAATTACATAAATAGTGCAACATATCCAATCATTAAAAAAAACTTTGTAATTCTAGACATTGTAGCATGTTATTTTATTCACAATGTTTGCCATAAAGTACATTATTTGTATTTTTTACATCTGGCGTAGGTCCACGCCGCGCATTGGTATTTCCGACCGCGTCACTACCAGACGGATCATCAAGTACACACTTTTAGTAGAAACAGTTTTAGAATTTCTGGGGGTTGTGCTTGTTTTTTTGGACACCAAAATGGCTCTAAAAAGAATTAACAAGGTAAACTATGATTCGTGGTTTAGTTAGTTGTTATGATCCAATGTTGTAATTTAACTATGTGGTGTGAACATATATGGTGTTGAACCAAAACGGGAGCCCAACTCGGTGAAATTACAGCCTTATCGGAGCCGTAGGTACATAACTCACTGTTCACAGTCACTGTCACATCATGTGATGATGTGTATTACTGTATACTCATATACATACTACAATAGGGATTACATAGTATTAGTATGATCGATGAACAAGTACAGTATTTGGACAACGTGTTCATAAAACTGCATGACTTCCACAAAATCGCAGTAGCCTACCATTGACATTATGATTGTATCAGTCAACCCTCTCCCCCTCTCACGCACACACACACACACTACACATAACAATTCCGTTGACACCCTTCACGAGTCACATGTACGCGTGTGTCGTACATACTCTTTAACATTTGATTGTTAACCAGCTCATGTAGCCTATGTACATGCTGTATCATGTGTCTACCAGTAATCGACCTAATGATGGAAGTCGTGTACAGTACTCAGTAGCGTACGTAATAAACACAATTTATATCACTATCAGTTGTAAAATGTACCTGATTTTCTATTTCTTTATTATGTGTCACATTTTGAAATCCGCCATGGACGTTGCCTGCGGGGACGTCTATGCCTGGTATTGTAATAGGGCGTGCCTGTAGCCGGATAGTAGAGCTGAGAGGGTCTATGTCCCCCTGGGTACTGCCGGAACGTACCCTGGTACTATCTAATATGCCGGACCGTACCTCGCCTACTCCACTAACGAGTCTAGGGAGTCGCCTATGCGTACTCCCTAACCCTAACCCTAATCCTAACCCTAACCCTAACCATATCAAATAGTGACTAGGGTACGTTCCAGTATACCGGACTGTACCGAGGGTATGTTCCGGCAGTACCCTGGGGGACATAGACCCTATAAGCGATAGTAGAGTGCTTCTCGAATCTTAAATTAATGATGATGCACCACCTTCAGATTCTCATTCACTTAAAAAATCTACTGTACATAACGTGTGTTTTTCACTACGTGATATGAATAACTTTTAAAGTATTGCATGTATTTGTCTATGCAGGATTGTAGTCGTGGATGCAGCCATGTTTGCTGATTATGCTATTACGTAGACGGACTCCATTCGTTTTAGCAATTCTTACCGAATACCAAATTTATAGAATTACCAGAATTGCTCACACACTACCAGATTACAAAATATAGTAGTATGCAGGGACAAAATAAAAATTTATTTTTTGGGGGCTACTTTTCAAGCTCACGTGCATGAAAATAGCACTCTAAAATTTGGTTTGCGTTGAACTCTATGCAAATTTCCGGGGGCTCTTTTTGGCATTTTCGGGGCTCTTTTTGGCATTTCGGGGGCTAAATCGCCCCGAGCCCCCGTGTATTTTTTTCACTGGTAGTATGTATGACTACCAGACAAAGGAGGTTAATTTCGCAACATGACTATAGCTGTGACAGTTACTGTATGACGTATTAGAGAGCTTGGTGCTCCAGTGGTTACCATGTCCCCCTGTCACTTCAGAGCCTCCGAGTTTAAAACCTGCCCATGGGGCAGTGAATGTTCTCAATGTGTAAAAATTTTGCTCTTACCATTGGGGATTTTGATTCCCTCGTGATTCAGATGATCATGTAAAATCACAGGCCTGTCAACAATGGACATAAAACACTGTAACTGACCCTTCTAGAAGTGACCCTTCTAGAAGTGACCGTAATGAGGTCGGCCTGGTGAAGTCCTCTAGCGCTGACTAGTAAATGAGACCTCTACTTTATATCTGCATGGTGCGAAATTAACGCGAGTCTGGAGTCAAATACTACCTGATTTACTGTCGGACTCCCTTATTTGACATATGCAGGAGGCAGTGTGACTCCTTGAAAAATCTGCTATACTACTAACTAGTTCGTTCCAGAGCACGGCCTCGTGGAATTACCGTATTTTTTCAGCAAATGTCCAAAGAAAATTTGACAGACGTGCAACCGCATGAATCTTCAAAATAAGCACATGTATGCGTACATTGCTAATAGCATAGCATTATTGTTAATATCTTTAGTTTTGAACTTCAAACTGCAGACTCCCTCATTTTGCTGCGGATGCCCCCTTTTTGAGGGCAGGGAGTCTGTTGGGCTTCCTTGTTCAAAGTTTAATTTCTACCCCTGTATCTGTATAGTTAGTTGGTTACATACAGATATACTATACCTTGTCGTGCACATGCCATGTCACTATATCCTATGTAGGGAACACCTACAAGTATATGAACTGAATAGAACAACTTAAACTGTTGCAGCGTCATTGTGGATCCCATCAATGCTTTCCTGGTTTTCTCGTTGATTCTCTGTGCGCATTATTGACCACTGGTGATGAGCCAGGTTTCGATCACGCAGCGATGGGGAAAATTTATATACATTATAAAAATCCAGCTGAGAGAACAATGTTGGCATTTGCAGGAACTTCAAGACTTGGGTAGAGATCCTCCAGCACAATGTTCGGCTGGACCAGTAGGGGACGATTGTAAGCATACATCAACATCAACATTGTTGAATGATTAACTTGTTAGGTGTCTGCTTTTAACTACTATTGCCATTACCTTTAAAGCTGCACTATGCACATCCAAACGCTAATTTCTCCAGTACTAGACTAGCAAATACTTCGTGTCATGCATAATCACACTACCTTATGACAAAATAAACTCTAGTTCCTCCCATTTCACTGCACGTTTGCTTAAAACCCACAAGAAAGAGGTGAGAAAACTGGCATTCTGGCGCCAACACCGACTTGTTTGCCAAACAATTTAGCCTCAAAGTGGTTAGGTGACGTCACATGTTTTTATCTTTGCTACACCCGTACTGCTGTACCGCAGCATCGCTGTGCGGTTGCTTGGCAGGGCAATGCGAAAGTGTCAACAACATCGGAGAATTTGAACAACATTGGAGGTATTTTCAAATGCCTTTTATAAGACAACGTGCAGTGAAATGGGAGGAACTAGAGTTTATTTTGTCATAAGGTAGTGTGATTATGCATGACACGAAGTATTTGCTAGTCTTGTACTGGAGAAATTAGCGTTTGGATGCGCATAGTGCGGCTTTAAATTAGAAAAGAAAGGTGCCTATGTATGGTCTGCTAATAACCCTAAGGAAAAATCTGTTGAATTTCTTATTATAAAAGAAACAAATTCTTCTGGTTCAATGGACTTATTAACACCTGTAGTTCACTTCATTGTGAGTGCTAGATGATATTGTAACTAATGTTACCGTAATTCAGGTTTTGTTTACAAGGATATTTTGTACTCGGAGTAATTATATACATGTCACCCATGAAAGCTTTTTTTTAGATTAGTGAAATATTTATTTGCAGGTAATTAAGCTTACAGATCTGCATATAGTTTTATATTATCAATAATTCTTTTGCAGTGTTTCACTGGCAAGCTACTATCATGGGTCCGGTAAGTTTGTTGTAGTTCAATATTTGGAACCTCTTAAAATATTGTAAGAATATACATTGCAAGTACTGTGTTATAAAAGTACAATTTGGCTCTTTACTATGCACTGTCCCTTACTGGTATATTTTCTAGAATAATAATCAGATCAAATATTACAAGTATACTAATTTATGTTGTGATTTTTTGACAAATTTTTTAGCCGGAAAGCCCGTTTGAAGGAGGAGTGTTTTACCTAACCATACATTTTCCTACAGATTATCCTTTTAAACCACCAAAGGTGAGCAGATGATTTTTGATATTTTTAATTTATGGTCATATATCAACAAGAAGTATTTACATTCATGATTTTGTGTGCGCTAAAATCATTGTAATTTAATACTTTACTCATAGCTGCAGTCTATGGGTTAACCCTTTGCATTACCAACTGCAAGCAAAGTCATCCTACATATAATCACTAATATTAATGTGAAACAAAACTAAGCTGTCTTGTATAGTGCCCAAGAGCCAATTTCACCTTAACCTTTTTTAAACAATATATAAATTCAGATTCAGATTCATTTATTTTGCTAAGAAGCTTTTCAGTTAAGGTAGAAGTAAAAAGGGAGGGGAATACATAATATTATAGAATTGATAGGTTTAAGGTGAGTGTGCGTAGTGGTCAAAGTAGCCATAAGCTTTCGAGTTGACCACTAACGCAGACAATAAAATGTCTGAGGGAAAAGTACAATTAAACTAAATATATAGGAAATGAGGGAAAAATATACATGTACATACATAATAATATATGGAACAGTAGGATAAAAAATACAATTGATGTAATAAGTAATAATTAACATGAACAAGAAAGCAATTATAATATAATATATAACTAATTTCGATGGTCCTAAATAACACTAATTTAATTGATCATTACTGGCTGCCAAGAAGGAATAGCTTAGAATCATGTTTAAATTTACTGTCAGGTGAGGTTTTAATTTCAAGAGGAATTGTTTCCCATATCCTTGAAGCCAGAGACTTCAAGACTTCGAGACTTTCTTATTCCACTGCCAGTGCATGTGGTGGTGATAGTACTGTGTAGTTTTTGCCTGCGTTAATTAGTTACAGGTAGCAGCTCTCTATTTCAGCCTGTAGGCTTGCGTAGGTAAATGGATGAGTGCTTACCTATTTTGTCTTGCAAATAGTTGTTGCTACTACGTACGATGGGAGCTTCCATCTTTACTCTTAAGACACTTAAACGTACACGCCATCTTGTGGCAACTTTCATAACGATCCCAACGAACATTCCTTCGAGAAGGTTCCTGATACCATCCCTGTGCCTTCCACTGTTTCGGCGCGTATGTGAACACATTTGGGACTAACAGGGTTTACTAGAATTCCACCACTCCACCACAGAGTCACCGCAGTAGATGTGAGATGAGCGCTGTCGCTCCGCGGCACTTGTTCTATGTTACATGTAGTTATTGAAATAATAGGCTTTTTCCTAGGGGAAGTAATGAGCATGTAATTTGTCTTCTTAAAGTTAATTGAAAGTTTGTTCACAGCACAGTATTCTAAGACATTTGCAAGTTCATCGTTTATAACCTTTTCTAATTCATTTAAATCTTTTGAGGAATAAAAAATATTGGTATCATCTGCAAATATTTTAAATAATAATTTATTGGAGGAATTTGGGTATATATATAGATCACACACAATATTACAACCAGATATGAAGAGTATACATAATTACATATACAAGAATTTAGTAAAATTTTGTTGGCTTCTCCCATCTGGTGAGTTTGCCTAAAATTTCAGATGATTTATGGAAATTATTGAAACTGGACATGGTTTTTCTTGTAGTGGGATTACACATCTACATTTATTTAATAGGCTATTAATCGTTTTGACATTATCACCAGTACTATAAGTAGTTCAATTTATAGCAGTGGTAGCTTAAAGCGATCATTGCGAGTTTTTTCCAACGTTTTTCAGTGTTTATTCTCACTCTCATGATGCCTACCATTGTTGCTTGAGTAACAGTAATTGTTTGAAATAACAATAAAATGTCTTAGAACCTCATGCAAAGACAAAATCATGCACGATTACAATTTTGCGTTCTCTTGTCGATTTTAGCTGTCATGTCTCGCACTTTCTCGCGGTACCGCGAGACGTCAACAAAGGTGCAGTAATGCAAAAATCGCACCGTAGATATTTTTGGTTAGATGTAAACACAGAGGTCCATAGTATTAGTAGCGTAACACAAACAGGAGTGTACGGTAAGTTGTAACCTCATAAATATTAGTCTTCAAAAGTCTTAGGGACTATAACGAAGACGGAGAGAGAAGTGGATCAAATCGATATATCAACACTGCGGATTATCACACACAAATAAATGCCCCTTTGTTTTAATTATGTTCGCTTGTTTGAGACGCCATTTGTGATTTTTGAAAGTTGTGACATTTATTGCTGGTATGATGTGGTCAAATCATATGCATATGCTATGACTGCATAAAATCTTGGTGTTTTGAATGTTGGTGTAATCAGTGATATTTTCGCCGTCAGGTGAGACTATATTCAGCTATATTTAGTTTTTCTGAGCAAAATTCTCGCAATACTTGTTTTAATATATAGACGTTACAACAGCACAGTTACTTTATATTTGTACTACCTGCAGCCACTACACGTGTAATTCCATGTTTTAAATATTCTCACCAAACAATGTATTATAACTGTATCAGTAATCGGTTAAAAAAAACTATGAAGTAGTTTCTTGCATATGCTACTTTAATACTTGAAAAATGTTCTGAACAACAAAATAAAATAGATGATTCTCATTTACTCTGTGAGTAATGTATGTTTGTTTGGTCAGATCTATCCAATTCTTCACTTGATCTCCATCAACCCAAGCTAACACAATCTTTCCAAGTGTCTTCTCATTGTGACCTGTCAACAGATTTTTAATATTTAGCAAGGACTTCTTATTGGCTCATTTTACACGCCACCATATTGGATACATTTAGATCAACCTGTACCGGCGTATTTGGACGCTCGCCCGAAACTGGACGCTCCTAAGTGCGCATGCGCGCAGGCGCCTCTTGTTTTGGAAGGGCGCACACAGCGCATGTGCAATATGCGCATTAGTCATCTGCGCATCTTGCCTTTCGCATCTTGCAATAAACAAACATGGCGGACGTCCTTGTCACTGATGGAAACATTTGATTGAAACAATTTGCAATATGTAGTAAATTAGTAAGACTGTGTTATGTGTGTCAGGTTACAAGGCGAAACAAAAGAGCATGTCTACTATTTCCTACGGCCGTGCAAAACAAGATTCAAACAAAAAGAAAAAAAGAGCAAAACAAAAGAGCATGCCTACAGAGCGTCCAAATACGCCGGTACAAACCTACACTAGCTCGTCTGTAGGATCAATGTTCAGCTTGATCAGGATCTGACTCACTGACCAAACAAATAGCGAGCTTATACCAATCGTACCATTTGTCAGTATAAATTAATTTCTGCTGAAATTTCTTAAATTGTTAGAATTGTTCATTGATAATTATCTTTCAGTTTTGAAGCAATTTAAAATCTAGTAAGTTTATTAATATCTGGTCCTAGACCATGATAGATAGGACTAATTACAACCCAAATTTGAACGCAGATGTCAATAGTCGTGGAGGTTCTCTTACTGAGTAACAGCTCTTGAGTGGTTACAATAACTGTGCCTTTTAGCTACACTAGCAACTCTCAGTTCTCTTCAGGCTCAAAACATTACTGATTATATCATTTTTATAATAAAAAAATGGCTTAGAAATATCAGAGATATTTTGTGCCATAATCGATAAAATTTATGATCCTATTATGTTTGAATGTTATCAAGAGCTAATAATACCTAGTATAGGTATTATTAGCTCTTGATGTTATGTTACCTTTCAGTTTCTGAATTTGGATGTAATTACTGAGAGATTTTTTATCTCAACTTTGATGTTTGCATCCACTAGAATGTAAATTTCCTAAACAGATGGGTAATTGAACAGTTGTGTTTCAGTTCTTTTAGTTTAGTTTGCTACTACCTTTACAGGCCCGTAGCCAGGGGGGGTTTGGGGGTCCCCCCCCCGCCCCCCCCAAGCAAAATTTTTTTTTTTTAAATTTGCAAGAATTTCACCTCAGGTCGCTCCATTTTAGTGTAGTAATTGCAAAATCTCCGTGCGGGAGGGTGAACAGTGAACACCCCCCTCCCACACCCTCCCCCACTCGCGTCACTTCGCCGCCCGAGCAGGGGCGTGTACAGGGGGGGTCCAGGGAGTCCGAACCCCCCCCTTGCTCGCGCAGAAAACGCATCTGAGGGGGTGTAATTTTAAAAATTTTCTGTCCAGACCCCCCCTTCGCGTGCTCGCACCTATGGGTTACGGTTAGACCCCCTGGTACAAATCCTGTACACGCCCCTGCCGAGCAAATGCCAACATTGAAAAACGAACCCCCCCCCCCAATAGAAAGCTGGCTACGGGCCTGCTTTAGAGTTATGATGAAAGTGCATATAATATTGAGTGATTTGATTTTAGATATATAGCAACTGCCAAATAACAATATGTTAATGACCTCTTGATAATAGTAATTGGTAAATAAATCATATAATTTTAGCAACTCGTAATAACCAAAGCAATAGTTTTATCTGCAACCATCTATTATTCAAACAGTGAGTAACTTGAAACTTGTTTTTGCACAAATTCAATGGGTTTTTAGCTCATCTGACATAGTCAGATGCAGCTTGTAGAATCGCATGACGTCGTCGCGTCCGTCGTGCGTGCGTCCGTCAACAGTTGGGCACAAATCTTAACCGCTCGACGTACGGTCACGCATATTCGGGACGTTGGGGGGGATCGTCAAAACGAGTTGGGATGTCGAAGCTGGGGGTCAAAGGTCAAGATGTGTAAAAGCAAGGGAACATTTCTCTCCTTAACTTAAGTATAGAGAGGAAATGCAGAATTGCGGCACAAATCTAAACGGTTTGACTAGGCTCGTGATAGTCGTGTATAGCATCATGGTAGGAAAAGCCATCACTGTGCCGAAATTGGAGGTCACAGGTCAAAGGTCAATGGGGCACAGGGCAGATTTTAGACATTTTCTGAGGACATGGTCTGATGGAGCGATTGAAAACTTTTTTGTTTCAGCGGTGACCTAGCATTTTTATGGCTTTATTGAAAGGACCATGAAATGTACTTCTGCTGACATGCGAAGAGTAAGTGTCGGATAACCTTTTGCGACCTCAGAGGGGGTTAAACATGGATTTGTTGACTGTTAACAAAGGACTGAACTGCTTTTGCTATTGTGGATGTGAGGCTACAGTTGCACAGTTGCAAAGGCAAATGTTGGTTGAACAAGGTTTACGCTCCTTAAATCATATTATTTTCTAAAGCAGTGTATTAGCACCCTGAGTAGCACCCTGTAATAGCACACTGTAATGAAACCTGAATGCTCGCGCGTGTAGGCAAAAACATGGGGGCAGCCCATTACGCATGCATGGGGGTGAACTGGCACTATTCTAATCATAATTATTGCCTGGCAACCTGCAATGCAGATGTGTGTAACTCACAGCTGGCCAGCAAAATTCTCGCCTGCCTGAATATACTTCAGCAACTCAATGGAGTGAGGTTATCACGCACGAAGGGTGATGCCATCTTTGATTATTTGATGACACTTGCACGCGCCATCTCGCGCGCAACTGCTTTTGCTATTAGAGCCCCTCACCCGCCCCCTTCCCCACTCTCCCCCACCACCACCACTACGCTTCGCGCTCGACGCATATCCATGATAACATGTTAATATAGCGAAGTCATTAAAGTTACACAGCTGTATCTTTATTACTGTACTACGGTATAGCAAAGCCTAGCTATCATTGATTTTAGATCTGTATTATGTAGTATCCAGATATATGCTCTGAGCGCGAACGCAGTGATGGGAGGGTGCTCTTCATTCGTTTGCCAGTGAGTTTAGCATCAGAACACCTGCCGTCAGGTGAGCGCTGTCGCTCTGCGGCACTTGTTATATGATACAATAATTACTCACAATTGCACTTTCATGCACTAACCTAATATCAACTTTTGTTATATTTATAATAGCCTTCATTTCCTGTAACTAATATTTTCTCCGAAAACAATTAAGCTGAAAGGCTTTTCTCACTCTTTCTTGTGTAGACTTTTTCAACACTGACATAATTAGTTCCATTGAATCAGCTGCTGCATATGGGAAATTAGACTTCTACTATTGTGTACAAAGGCCACAGATGGTGCAAGTGTTGTATGTCACAATCTGAAATCTACATCTAAATTACAAAATGTACTATAATTATATCATATATACCAGGGCTCGAATTAAGCGGCGAGAAGGGCAAGGCAATTTTTTTAGGCACGTGAGAAATCGCCTTGAATTTTCTCTAAATGGAAGGGCACAGAGGCAATTTTAAAAGGCACCAAGGCAACTTTCAAAATTTGAGAAGGCACCAAGGCACTTTTGTAAAATAAAGGAAAACGTCATAACAAATTAGTACATCAACATCGGTCTTGCTTTTAATGTACAAAACAATATGCCCCCATGTAAGCTTACACCGTAACACGCACCTTGTAGCCTCCCTCTGCTAATGAAGTACAGTAACAATAAATTTTATATGCCCGCTATCAGAGTGAATAATTATCCGCCATGCTGTTATTGTTCCCTCCTGCGACTATCGGTTTTAAGCTCATCATTGCAACTACAGCAGCGCACGCGCACGTGTTATGTTGATTCGACTAAAAACGAACTAGCCGGCAGTAGAATTAAGGGCAGCCGACGGCAATTACACAAAAGGCAAGGCAGGTGACTGCCGTCGGTCGAGTTGGATTTTCAGGGCAATACGGCAATTGATAGGGGCACCGACGGCAATTGCCGTCGCGTCCGTCGGTTAATTCGAGCCCTGATATATACATTACAATGCAAAAGGTTGTTGGTAATTGCATGACCCGATATGCATGACCCTAAATGAAATTTATATTGGAAGCGGCACACAGCTACATATATAGATAGCCATCCCAGCAGTTCTAATCTGTTAACAGTCAACAGTATATTATGTGAACCCATAAATATACCACCAGTTAAACAATAGTTATAAAACAGTTAAAGGGACAGTAGCCTCTAGGATTTTACTGCATACAACTGTACTTACTGTATAACAAATCGTCTATACCCACACGTATTCGTTAGCAGATACCTAATTTAATTGTTATAATTATTTGCACATCAACGCTACGAAATTGAACGGCGCCATGACACCCGCGACCGTGCTGCCACCCCGAAAAAGTTGACCATTTATTTTTGCGGGCCAGGTTACAGACCGAGGGCTAATCACAAAAGTGCAATTATATTTATACCTAAATGCTATTTAACCGAACGATATTCATTTTAGGGCAAATTTATCCATATTATAACTGAAACTATATGTCATTTATAAGATATTACAATCCTTTTGCTTTAAATGAATAAATAAGAAACACCCTCGGTCTGTAGCCCTTGGTTGGAAAGTGGTTTTGCGCAACTTATCAGATCAACAAATTTATCCATATTATAACTGAAACTATATGCCATTTATAAGATATTACAATCCTTTTGCTTTTAAATGAATAAATAAGAAACACCCTCGGTCTGTAGCCCTTGGTTGGAAAGTGGTTTTGCGCAACTTATCAGATCGTGTGCTTTGAGTGGTGCCACCGTCGTTGTAATCAAACTGTAGTCGTTAGTTTTAAAACATTTTTTAATAATATTTCTAACGGTGATTGAACCATGAAATTTTTTATGTAGCGTAATTATAACCTAAATTAGCTGAAAATAACCCTAGAACCTAGAGTAAACTCTCCCTTTAAACAAACAATATGAATGGTTAATGTGTAGAAACAGTTTCTTGGTGTGCCTTTTTGTGAGAGTAATTATCGTTAAAATAAAGGTAATAACAGTAATGGTTGGACTATTGTTAGGGTTGCCTGGGAGAGCACCCAGTTGATTTGTGAGAACGGTGTACATATTTGCTGTGGTAGTATGAGTTTGATCACATAATGCATTCTCTGGTAGTTTTATGGAGTAGTAACAGTATCAATTAGACTGTGCACACTCATACCATAAATTATTGAATCTTTGAACATTTAATTGTATATGATCTGGAGGTGGTCTTTAACTGAACTCACAGTTTAACAAATGTGGTGCTGCTGTTACATTGTTTCAGGTGGCCTTTACGACTCGCATATATCACCCAAACATAAACAGCAATGGTAGCATATGCCTTGACATATTACGGTCACAATGGTCACCTGCACTAACTATATCAAAAGGTATGTTTCAACCCTGCACTCCTATTTGACTTCTTTCCGTACAAATGCTTTGTGTAGTACTGACCCTGCCTCATCATATTAGTCATATTATTTTAAGCATACCCTCTCGTCTGAGTAGTAGCCTTCCGTGCAGGGGTGGGGGGGGTGCGGGTAACGGCCGTCCCTCCTAGAAAAATTTACATCTAATTGATGTAAATATTTCTAAATCGATTGTAATAAATAATAGAAGAAATATTACCTTTTCAGGCTAATCTCATCATGTATGAGATTTATTTTTTAAACTATCAATATTTCTCTCAGTATTACTCATTTAGGTCATGAAAGTGTGCCCTTTCTCCCTACGAATCTGCTCAGGCTATGGTCCTATTTCGAAATTGCACCATGGCACTACTGGCAAGAGTCGTAGTTGCCCAACTTACATGCTGTGGTCCCTCAAAAATTCAATGCTGTCCACAGCAATAAAACACCGTAGCTAGTGTACCTCGCTTGCTGCAGTGCTTTACCCATATATTCCCTGTTGTGTGTGAATACTTGGTAAGTGTACACACTATACATGACTCATCTTTGTTGCAGTGTTGCTGTCCATTTGCTCACTGATGTGTGATCCAAACCCCGATGATCCACTAGTGCCAGAGATAGCCAGAATCTACAAGACAGATAAGCAGCGTTACAACGAGCTTGCTAAAGAGTGGACAAGGAAGTATGCAATGTGATCTCAAGGCTTTACCACGACTATGCTAGCTTATCTTTAAATTTGTCTAAAGTAAACTCTGTTGCCGTACACTTTTGACGATCTTGCATGTCCACTGAACTGTTTATACGGTGAGAACAGGTGCGTAGATCCCGTGCAAGGCATGTCCTCATTAAATTGAGATGCGTTGTATCTTGTGCAGATTCAGAAACGCGAAAAAGAGGGAGTGTGGCTAGGCTTATTGAGTGTATAGCAATACGTCAGAGCATGCTGCTGCATCCAACACACACACATATATATATATATGCGTGGTGTTGTGTGTGTGTGTGTCGTGTGCGTGTGTCGTGTGTGTGTGTGTGTCGTGTCGTGTCGTGTGTGTGTGTGTGTGTGTGTGTGTGTGATGTGTATATATATATATATATATATATATATATATATTCATTTGTGTCGTGATTCAGGTTTTGTGCTACCATTATTATATTTCGAGTTTATATAATGGTGTTTGTGCATTGTTAGGCAGTATCATTTTCCTCCTAATTTGGTAAGCGATCTTGCATGTTTGAAAGTGTAAAAATGTAATATTCATGTGCATTTCACACTGCAAGGAATTTGTCAGAATTGTGCGCAACAGGTTGTACATGTATGTGTATACATGTATTTGTACACATATATATAATATATATATATATAATATTGTGCAACGTTATGAAATTGTAAATTTGTGTGCACAATCTAAATCAATGGAAACTGGTTTTTTCTGAGTACCTGCTTTTCTGGTTATTATACTAACACAGTGGTTCTTAACCTTTTTTGAGTCATGGTCCCAATTGAGAATCTGGTGAAAGCTACAGACCCCTCCCCAGAAAAATGCACACAAGCACATAAACAAAAAGTTTTGCATGCGCGTGGTTCACGGACCCCCCTGAAGCCCATCCACGTACGCCAAATGGGTCCATGGACCAGAGGTTAAGAACCCCTGTATATTCTGCAGTATAACTATACTATCTCTGTGTGCGCGTACGGCTTCACAGTTCCTTCCAGTTTCACAACGCATATTTGTAATCACCTTAAATGAAAAGATTTCCCGGTGTTATTACTCATATAGTTTGGAGTGTGAATCACTAACGTCGTTCAATTTTGGATCAGTTGGGTTGACAGCTAATTTTCTCATCATAAGTACTGTAACGGTAAAGATACTTCACATCAGCCTTTGGAGATTCATCCAAGTTGTTGAGTGGGTACTTATTATTTGTTCCACAAAGGAAGTGTTCCACCTAGTCTGCATATGATCGGCAACCCTCGCGCATAAACGTTCGAAGGCGCAATTGTGGAAGCATGCTCCTCAGCTATGGTTTTGTTTACATTTGTAAGTTAAATCAATGGGTTTGGAGTGCAGCAATGTCAGAGATGGGCCGGTAGGGGGACTGCAACCTCGAACTGATTTCCCTTCTTGCCCCAGACCCACGCTCGCGCTTCTCAACGGTTGGATATCAGTTAAACCTGCTAGAGCTATAGATGTGTTGCTAATTAGGTTATTGTAAATCAGGGAACGCTATCACGTTTTGAAGATTTGGATGTAATTGAGATACAGGTAGTGTGGCACGCAACGTGAAACTGCTCTGTGAATTCTAGTGCCATTTTGCATTACAATGCGAAATGATTTTCTAAACCTTTCGCTGTCATATTACATTGTCATATTCCAAGTAGTATGAAAAGCTAATGATACAAGAGTAATCTAAAAGTAATGTTCTTGTTACTGGTCTATCTTTTTTTCAATTTGGTGGCATAGTTCCTCGTTCTATTTACGATGATTAATTTCAGCAGTTGCATTGGAAATTGCTAAAGCCCTTTTTCCTGTGTCTGAATACTGTTCGTCAGAGAGTTTAGTATTGAGTAAAATATTGTTTACCTGATGCGTAAAAGTTTCTGGACGATTTAGTTTGTATTAAAGATCTACCGTTGTACTTTGTCAGATGCGGTTGAAATATGACCAGATGATCCCAGATGTATAAACGTCATGTTTACACAGCATGGTATAATAAAAAAAACAGACTCAAACAATAATTGACTGTATAGCATATTTATTCGCATAATTATGCCACGGCCACTGTCAACCCTGTGTTAGTAAGGCCTCTATAGATATAGATGCATAATGAATAGACATGAGTTTATACCAGGAACTTAACCCTTTCATTGAAGAGCCTTTGAGGCTTTTCCATTAAGTGACCCTTAGATGCAGGTTTGACTGCAGTTGTAAAGACCTGCCAAACAGCTAAATAACACAAATTTCATAGAATAACTAACCAATATACTACAATGGTTACGCATGAATTCAAATGATTTTGTTGTGATTTTAAATGGTGATTTTCAGTGTATATACATCTAAACAAATTGGTAATTCAACAACTCAGAAAACCGCATTATATTAGTTCCATGATATCATTACCTTTATCAATGTCTGTCGTGGTGAAAAAACATCATGGACCTCAGATAAAATGTAAAGACTTTAGGGTAATATATTTGAAATCGTAATAGTTTAGTCTGCGATTAGATCTATTATAACTACACATTATAGTGGTAAATTTTAGTTCAAATTTTTATAGTAGGTTATATATTATATTAAGAGCTCATGATTAATGTATTATTACTTATTAGCTGTTGATTATATGGAAATGAGCTTTGCTGCTGGCATTTTCCCTTTAGGAGAGTTGCCATCACCAAGTTTTAAAATATTTACGAAATTAATGATAGGTGGATGTCACAGGAAACCCCCCATCTTCATGTTTCTCCCTACACAACAGCAGTGCGCAGGGCAGCTCTCTAACGACAGACCCTTCAACCTGTTAGGAGTGTTACGGTAGAATAATTAATACTTTAAAATAAATATACCCCGTATCAATAATTCAATCTTGCTTTATATACGTATACGCACGTAGGCCTAGTATATAGTAACGCATGGCTATAACGCAGAAGCGTGGCTGTAGCTCAGGATTGCGTCACAACTTATTTGTCGATGTTTCCGCGTCTTGTGACTGCGTCCGAGGACCCCGACAAGCTACCGACCAAACATGCCATGTGTTCGACCTACACGATCTTTGTGCATGGATTATGCGCCGCATGATGATATACATAGACATTATTTTGTATTATAATATATTTTCTATTGTATTATATGTTTAATGTATTATTATCATTAACATATAACTTACATACACATACATACGTACATATACATACATACATACATACATACATACACACGCACACGCACACGCACACGCACACGCACACGCACACGCACACGCACACGCACACACGCGCGCACACACACACACACACACACAAACACACACACACACATACATACATACAATAATGACATTATCTAATACATATTTGTGAACGTGTGTCTGTTTGTCTGTTCTCGATGCAAATCAATACGGAGCACTCTAGAAATTTCAAAGACGTTCAGTAGGGGTAAATTTTGGTGCTGAATGTCATGGGCACATTGAATTTGACCTCCAAGGTCTTCTAAGCCAAAAAAAAACGGAAAAATGTACTGCCCCCTGCAGCAGCATTAAATAAACGGGATTCACTTAATTTGCACTGACTCGCATTACTATGCAATGCGAGTTACATTGCGTTACTATATACATGCACTATGTTACATGCGCCATATGTCATTGGCGAATTGTCGTAACAACATTCACCTTGCACTGATTTGTACAGAGTGTGCAAGATTATTTTCGATAAGTTAGATAGATAGATAGACAGACAGACAGATAGATAGATAGGTAGATAGATAGACAGATAGATATAAAAAGGTAGATAGATAAATAGAGAGATAGATAGATAGATAGATAGATAGATAGATAGATAGATAGATAGATAGATAGATAGATAGATAGATATAAAATAGATAGATACGATAGATAAAGGATGGATGGATGATAGATAGATAGATAGATAGATAGATAGATAGATAGATAGATAGATAGAATAGATAGATAGATAGGATAGAAAAGATAGATGAGATTAGATAGATAGATAGATAAGATAGATATAAAAAAGATAGATAATATAGATAAAGTAGATAGATAGATAGATAGATAGATAGATAGATAGACATATTTTTGGGTATTTTTCTTTCAACCAACAAGTGGTCACCAACTGAGCGCTTTATTTCCCGGGCAACGCCGGGGGTCCTGCTAGTGTATTATATCAAGAGCCCATTAACCCCTTAGGGGGTTAATGGGCTCTTGATGATTATATGGAAGACATTTAGTTTCATTAAAAGTCGCGTGGGGCTGTATATATCCGTGACTTGACCGAATGCCCAAGCGCGTTCTGTACCGGAAATAATGTGTTTTCAAAAACCCCTACCGGAAAGCTCCTAACAAAATAGAAACTGAAATATTACCTATCACTATCACTGATCTCTATAATATAGAGATCAGTGATCACTATACATAACTCGTCAGATGTCCTATTGAATTTCACATAAGAATCACTCGGAATACGCAAAGATCTACCTATCTATATCTCTCTCTTTCTCGCTCCCCTCTCTCTCTATATATACATACATATATATATATATATATATTATATAATATACGGTGACCCTGTCCATTACCGGTGACGGAAGAAGCTGAAGGTCATTCAGTTTTGAGTATTTACGGGTTATAGTTATATAAGTATAAGCAGCCGTAATTGCGTTTTATTTCAGTTAATGTCAGCGTAGGTTCATAGCAGGCGAATTATCTGTACAAGTAACCGGATTTGAATTTGAAGGCATATATATACCCCGAACCAGGAATGAATATAAGTTACTATATATAACGCGCTATAAGCGCATATATATGACTTTCGCGGTTGCCATGGGCCACATTTGCCTTCGGGGGTATTGATTTTCCATGCGACGACGGAAATTTAACCGCGACATGCGCATATGGCAATAACACAAAACCGTCAACGCGAAATTACTACCAATTATGTTTAGTGTGCCTACCGCTTTTTCGGCGGCGTAGGTCCGCTCTTCGTTTGCATTAATTCTCACCTCACCCCACTTTATCACTCCACTAACTTCGCTTAGTTTTTTTTTTCAACCACTACCATCCGCACCACCCACCCCACCCCCACCCCACTCCGCAGTCCGCTCACACGTATTATTCTATTTTGTGCCCACTCCACCTTATCACATAATCCAACCATTTGATTTTTAAAGTCGCTGGACCCCATTATCCTATCCCCGTCGGACGAAGGTGAGGGTAGATGCAGAGTGGACGCAAAGTGGATGCAGAGTAGAACTGCTCCGTCGTTATGCGACGTTTGCAAATAAAATTATTATAGGTATCGCCTCGTTTATGTAGCGAGTCCATGGTTCCATATGCACTGTTGCTTTTAATGTATATATATATATATATATGGATATATATACATATATATATATACAATAATAATAATTGAATATTACCATGTGGTGTGGTATTACGGTGTTACCTCATTATGCGACTACGGGGGCAAACCACAGGGGCAAACGTTGTTAAAGTGGATAACAGATGGCGCCCCTTGAAGTTGCGCATAGCCCAGCTTGTTTTGCTCGCCATTTTGGTTCGTCTCTTCGTTCTCGATAAAAATATCCGTTTCAATCAGAGGTTTGGCAGATTCATCGTCGTATGAGACACGTTTAATATAGTTTACAAAAATTGTAGATATGGCAACTACGAACGAAAAGTTGTCAACTTTAGATAGGCTTGTGAAAAGTAAGTATGAGTGATAGGTTGACTGTTTATGTACGTAGGATGTCCTATTTTCTAAATGTTGTCAAACGCTGTGTAACGTGTGTTGTAAAATTGCGGTCATACATCGCAGGTATTATAGTTAGCTATATCTCATGCGATAAAAAATTTAATACCAATATCCAGGGAAATTTAATTAAGAACAAATTGCTCTTGTTTGTGTCTTCTCAATCACTTGGTCTTACATTATACAGTAGTATTACTATTAGTACTAATTTATAGGCCGAATTCAACGACAGAGCAAATACCTACATTTTCCGAACATAATTGCCATAGACTACAGTACAGTACAGAGTATAGTAGTATTACTATTAGTACTAGTAGTGGCAACTTCTCACTTTTGAAACACCAACACACTCAGTGTGACTCGTTTAATGTTACATATTTATATGATTACGTGTAGTTGTAACTAAGCCAAGCGAGTAAGGCATTGTATCGCATCGTATCACAGGCATTGACAGTAGTTGGTCAGTGCACTGTCAGTTGTGAAGCGTACTAAATGCATCAATATTTTCTACTGGCATGCGTTTTTACGTACATTATACTTATTACATAGATACGCTATCATAGACAGACAGACGAGTGGGAGGGGGAGGATTTACGATATATATAAATAATCATGCAGTTGTGTAACTCTCCTACAGTGCACCTTATGAACTACTACTACTACTACTAGTACTATTTACTAATATCTTTTCCATTTATTGGCACAATGCATCGTCAGAATAACAATTGGAAAAGTTATTGTTATCAACTGGTAGTTCCACGTAGAGCTTGGTATTGATGTTGATATAAATTTCGGTTGATTTATAAAGTCATTTCCTGTCATCATTCAATTCGCTATATTTGTGTCATATATTTGGCTTACAGATATGACAAATGATATTACCAATTAAAAATAGATCCACAGCAATGGATGAGGTGAAATTTGTTTATTTAATTCATGATGGATGGTGCATGTCATTTGGCTAAAAGGGCCAGAGTCTTTTGTCAGAAACATCAATGTAAATTTGAGGCTAATGTTAATGCTAAGAAAGCACTTACAACTAATTAGTAATGTTAATGTTATGAGAATAGCTTTGACAGAAACATATCATAGCTATGAGAGAACCTACAATAGCAGGAACCTGATAATTTGCTGTCACAAAAGGCTGATGATTGGGTGAGAATCGATCACAAAACTCGGATTCATATAAATTTATTGTACAAGACAGGAATTTATGCATATTATAATAGTTATGTTATTATGTTATTAAATCTTTATTGAATGTAATTGAAATACAAATACATGTACTGAAGACAGTCTCTTTCATGGAGAAAATCTGAGAGATGCAATAGTGTTGAGCGGTTAAAATAATAAAATTTCCGAGTAATACACTACAAAACAATGCTATACACAAATAAAAAATATAATACAAAAACGACAATACTTTTTGCACAAGTGCATTGATTAATGTACACTTCAAGGCTAACTCAGGTCGCCCTTACGACCTAGTCGCCGACAAAATTTGAAGACTGTACGTCTAAACCGACCAGATCGCCGATAACAACATCCGCGACTAAACTCGACATGAGTTCTCTTACGATCGAAAATACGGTCGCCGACTGCGATCACAGGAATAGAAACGGTTCTATTTCTATGCGGCGGTCGGCGACAAATCTTGAGTGGCAGCCAATCACCGCTACGTGTCGATTCACATGATTATCAAAAGTCACGTGATTAACAAAATAGCAGCCTACACAGCAGTTTACAAGGAGGGATTATTGCACAAACCCTTTCTCAAATAAATATTAAGTTTTCCGTATACCACAGGCAATTTTTTAAATTATTTTTCTGCACATGTATGATTATAACGATTTTCAGAAAATTGAGGATAGATTTACGAAGTTACCTGATAACAGTGATGTTTACTGGTAAGCGCCGTTTTGTTGGTCATATGACTCGTTTTATGTAGACTGGTCCCGGCGTCAAGCTTGCTCTGTTTGTGCTAAAGAACTGCTTGTGCTAGTTAAAATACTAGGGCGCGAACCCGTCTACGTTTCCTGCAGAATGCTACGATCTGATCGGCGATGTACAGCGTGAAGTCACTTCAAGTCGACGTGAGTGTTGCTACGCTGCTAATCGGCGATAAAGTAGTCGCCGATAGTCAAATCGTAGGGAGACCTGAGCAGGGCTTTAAAGGATTTATTTCAAAATCATTGCTAAAAAATGCAATGTAAAAAAAATATAGTGAAATATAGTCTCACCTAATAACAGATATATTACTGATTACACTAACTTGAAAACCTCTTAGAATTTATGCTGTTATAGCATAGAAAATTGGAATTGAACATGCCGTAACACCATGGCATATTTGATTATAAATAGTGACAATTAGTTTGCAAATGGTGCCTTTAAAACAAGTGCACCGATAGTGCACATTATTCAATATATAAGGCCATCTGGTTCTGTGTTGTTTACTACGTTTCTATTTTTAAATTGACCGACACACGCTATCGCGGGATAGTTTCAGATTCGCAAGAAATGGCGGCAGCTTGTGCTAGTGCGTGTTAATGTGTATGTATGGGTGTAGGTTTATACGAGAGTGAGCACGTGCGTCAGAGTACGTAGTCCTGAGTGTTGAGATGATTTTAAAGCCAGGACTTCGAAAATAATTTCCAACCAGTCTCTAGTGTTTCCCCCACTAACATGTCTTAATACCTTCGTACTTGACCATATTCGGCAAAACATGCATGATTTTCGAATTTTGATTACTCGTTTTGATTTCACACACACACATTCACATATTCTGATTCAGAATACATCATAATAAAAGTCATTATTCTCCTATCTGCTATATGTTGTTAACATTGTATTTTTTACAGTTTTTAGCTCATCTGACGTAGTCAGGTGCAGCTTGTAGAATCGCATGATTGTTCGTCCGTCCGTCCGTCCGTCAACAGTTGGGCACAAATCTTAACCGCTCGATGTATGGTCACGATATTTGGGACGTGGGGGGGGGGGGGTTATCAAGAGCTAATAATACCTAGTATAGGTATTATTAGCTCTTGATGTTATGTTACCTTTCAGTTTCTAAATTTGGATGTAATTACTGAGAGAGTTTTTATCTCAACTTTGATGTTTGCATCCACTAGAATGTAAATTTCCTAAACAGATGGGTAATTGAACAGTTGTGTTTGAACTTTCAGTTATTTTAGTTGAGTTTGATACTGCCTTTAGAGTTATAATGAAAGTGCATATAATATTGAGTGATTTGATTTTAGATATATATAGCAACTGCCAAATAACAATATGTTAATGACCTCTTGATAATAGTAATTGGTAAATAATTCATATAATTTTAGCAACTCGTAATAACCAAAGCAATAGTTTTATCTGCAACCATCTAGTATTCAAACAGTGAGTAACTTGAAACTTGTTTTTGCACAAATTCAATGGGTTTTTAGCTCATCTGACATAGTCGGATGCAGCTTGTAGAATCGCATGAGCGTCCGGCCGTGCGTCCGTCCGTGCGTCAACAGTTGTGCACAAATCTTAACCGCTTGACGTATGGTCACGATATTCGGGACGTCGGGAGGGATCGTCAAAACGAGTTGGGATGTCGAGCTGGAGGTCAAAGGTCAAAGGTCAAGAGGTGTAAAAGAAGGGAACGTTCCCTCCTTAACTTAAGGTATAGGGAGGAAATGCAGAATTGTGGCACAAATCTAAACGGCTCGACCTAGGCTCTTGATAGTCAGTGTATATAGCATCATGGTAGGAAAAGCCATCACTGTGCCAAAATTCGAGGTCAAAGGTCAATGGGGCACAGGGCAGATTTTAGACATTTTCTGAGGTCATGGTCTGATGGAGCGATTGGAAAACTTTTTTGTTTCAGTAGTGACCTACCATTTTTAGCTCATCTGACATAGTCAGATGCAGCTTGTAGAATCGCATGATCGTCCGTCCGTCCGTCCGTCCGTCCGTCCGTGCGTCCGTCCGTCAACAGTTGGGCACAAATCTTAACCGCTCGACGTACGGTCACGATATTCGGGACGTGGGGGGGTAATCCGAAAACGAGTTGGGATGTTGAAGCTGGGGGTCAAAGGTCAAAGGTCAAGAGGTCAAAGGTCAAGAGGTGTAAAAGAAGGGGT